AGTTATTCTTGCAAACAGAACTGATAAAGATAATCGCTTACTCCTTGACAATATAGATCTTATATATAAGATCAAATATCAACATCTATATAAAAATCTAATTTATTGAACACTTCTACTATACTTGAACAATGGATATGTCAAATTCTTCTTATAACTTGAAGGCCAATTTATATAAAGTGGCTACAGCATTTTTATACTTTAAAGTAGCATTATCTATATTCTCTCCTTCACTAACTCCACTTGTTATATATTAAAATCAACTTTGAAAAGCAAGTGTATCAAATTTCAATTATGACTTGAAGGCAAACCTATATATCTGGCTATAATACTTTCATATATTTGGATACTCCTTATTTTTCTAGCCTTTTATTAGATACCACTCAAGAATTTATAGGATTTTGAAATGAGTTTGCTATAAGCTTGGGTAGTTAATAATAGACACTTAGACAGATGAATCAATTTTGAGTCTTGCATTAAACTCTTATAGTTAAAAGAGATATAGTTTAGTCTAGTAATTATAAAACTGTTGTAATGAATAAGTCAATTATAATAAACAAGAAACCAATAATTGTTTTTGTTCCTTTAAAAAAAAAAAGTATCAAATCAGTAATAGGCTATAATTAATTTATTTCTATAAAGATTGTTAATATAATAATAATAAATTTTTATTTAAATAAAAAAAACTCTTTTTCACTTCTTCTTCTACACTTGAAAATTTTCTTTTTAGGAAACTTTTTGAGTTGTTTATTTCGCTTCCTTCCTTCCTCTTCCCTTTTCTTGGTTGCAAATCTTTTATTTTCCTCTTCTTCTTTTCTCTCTCCTCTTCTATCTCCTCTTTTTATACTCTTTCTCTCCCTTTCCCTTTTTCCCTTCTTTCCTGCCAAAATTAGATTTTTCCTTCTTCTTGAAGTTTTTCCTTTCTAGGCTTCTCTTTCTTTCTAAAAATACCATGCTCCATCTCATCACTCCTTTGGCCAGTTGACTCTATTTTCTCAAGAACCATATAAGAAGCGGCAATCTTCTTCAAGAAGTGAACTTTGACAAGTTTTTCTCTTCCATAATTTTTTAGAAAAAGAATGGACAGTTTATCCCTCCAAAAGATCAGCATGACCATTATTACCAAATCCGGCATTGTTTACTTGTTGATAGCTAGACTAGATACATCTAAAAAACTGGTGTATACTATTATTGATCAAATCTCTAGATACTACGTCTTATGGAAATCTAGTAGGACAATACATGAAAACCAGGGATTCTAGTTACCCCTGCAAACAGAGCTAGTGATGTCAATCATTCACTCCTTAACAATGTAGGTCTCTTGTGCAAGGTTAGGTAACAGTATCTATAAGAAAATCCAATCCAACTCTATCCATTGAACACTTCCGCCACACTTGAACAGTAAATATGCCAAATTTTTTTTGTAACTTGGTATAAAGTGGCTGTAGCATCTTTATATATTAAGGTAGCATTAACAAATCAAAATCCAGCAGTAATGTTACCACTGACTCCTCTTGCTATACATTAAATCATACTTGGAAAGCAAGGGTGCTAATCCTACTCATGACTTGGAGGCCAACTTGTGAAAATATGGTTGCAGTGCCTTCATGTGTTTAGGTAATCAAATTACTTCTAGGAAACTAGACACCACCTCAAGGATTTGATATAGGTTTTGAAATTCATTTTACTATATTTCTTGGAGAGTATCCAGAGCATAGATGATAGACCATTATGAATCTTACATTTAACTCTACTTATAGTTTAAAGAGACATAGTTCATTTTTCCACATTGTAAATCTTTCTAAAAGTAAAAAATTACAATAAAAATACTGAATGACATTCATCTTTGCTCTTAAAAAAAAAAAAAAAAATTTTTATTTAAATAAAGTTTTGCATTTAATGCTTATTTGTAATATAAAAAAAAAGTATTGAATCAGTATCTAAGTAATATTAAAATAATATTAATATATAATAAATTTAATATATGAGTTAATCCATTCATATAAATTTATAATAAATTTAAGTATTAAACAAATATCAAAGTAATATTATTAGGAACTCTATTCAAGACATTTAGCAAGCTTGATTATAAAAATAATCTATCTTTGAAAACTCTTATATTTACTATTGCTTATAAAGAAGCTTATATTATTTGAACAAAGAAATACCTTGATTATAATTAAAAAAAACTTTATTTTCTGATAAAATAGTATTTCAAATATTTAGAAATATAATTACTCAATGATATAAAAACATAAGACCAATTAGAAAAATACCTAAAAATTATATTAAAATTTTATATAAGGTAAATTTTGTATAAAAAGAAAAACTTCTTATTTTTGTTTTAAAAAAATTATAGATACAAAATTTTATATTAATATTTTACAAAAACATAAATTAAAAAATATAAAATTGCTTGAAAATAATTTTTATTTTAGTATAATAATAATTCAAAATATATAAACAAAATTGTTAAAATATATAGGGATGTTGAAAAGTTTTGTTGTTGATTCTTTATTTTTTGAAATTATATAATAATTATTAAAAAAACTATTCTATTCCCTCAAAGTACTCTCCATTAACATCTATACAATATTATAGACAATTCTGCCAATTCTGAAAAGACTTCTTATAGTTAGCTTTTGAGATAGTTTTAGCAATTGCCTAAATGGCCCTTGCTAAATTTTCGATATTATTAAAACTTTTTCCTTTAATTTTTTCTTGATTCAAGGAAATAAGAAAAATTATAAGAAGCAAGGTCTGAACTATATGGGGATGAAAAAAAAATTTGATCTGTTTATTTTGAAGATATTCCATTACAATTGCTGACTTATGTGATGCAGCATTATCGTGATGTAACATGACATTCTGAATAGTCGTTCTTTCTTTTTTTTCCATAAAATTTAAAAAAACTTCTGGCAATATACTATTGATATAAAGCTTACCAGTAACTATATATTCTTTTTTTACTACAATTTATACTATAACCTATCTATGATATAAAATATACAAAACATTCTTTTTTTTTTAATTTTGCACTATTCTCACAATTTGTGACCTGTTCTTTCCTTTTTCTATCCAAATTTTATTTGCTTCCTTACTTGAAACTATAAAGAAATATATCCATGTTTTATTTCCAGTTATAATATTATTGTATCTTTTTTTTAAAGTTTCCAGTAATTGTTTACAAACTTCTACTTGTAGCTGCTTATTGTTCTCTGAAAGCTTATGAGGAACCTATTTTGTATAGACTTTGTGTAAGTCCAGTTCATTGTGTAAAATATGGGTAATTCTTTCATGGGAAATACTTATCTGAATAGTCAATTCTGTGGTAGTAATATAAGGGTTATTATTAACAAGTTCTTCAACTTTGATAATTATTTCTGATGTCACTACTTTATGAAGGCATCTAGAACAAGCCTTATCAAAAACACTTTCATCTCCATCCTTGAATATATGAATCTAGTGTTGAATTGTGTGAAGCAATAGTGTATCTTCTCCTTCTATATTAACTAACTCATTATGAATCTGAGTTGACTCCTGACTATTTTTTTATAAAACATAAATGTAATATTATTATTGTTTGTAGCTTATTTTTGTTCAATTGCTTTTGTATAGGGTTTTCAAAAATTTGTTTCTCAAAAATGGTCAAATGAATTATGATAATCTTTTTTTATTTTATTCCCTGAAATGTTGTGCAATATAGAATTAACACTATTTTTGGATCGGTTAGCTGATCATTAAAATATGACCCTGGCAATAAAACTTTTTAGCACCCCCACGTATACAATCAAAGTCGATATAACAAACTCTTAATATAATGGACACTAAGTAAAATCTCAATATACCAGATTGCTATTGAGAACAGGTTATAGTATTTTATCCACTATACCGAATTTCTTCATTATAACAGATTTTTGAAAATTTTTATTAATGGAACCAACTAGTCCATTATATTGACTTTCACTGTGTATTTGTTAATGAAATTTTCTAAAATTATAGATTAATCTTCTAATAATCCAAACTTAAATTTTATTAAAAATTCTTGAGTTATTGTTAAAAAAAATGTAGAATTAAGATTACCTAAAAATATTTTAGAATTAGAACAGTTTATAATAGAAGAATGAGATAAAATTCCAAATAAGGTTTTAAATGATTTTATAGATTCAATGAAAGAGCAATGTGACATAATAATTAAAAAAAAAGGTGAAAGAATTAATTATTAATTTTATATTAATAAAATCTCTAATATTATTTCTTATATTTATTATAAGAGGTCTATAAAAAATCGCAAACTAAATCGTAATAGGTTAGAGGAAATAGAGTATTTGTATGAATATAAATTCTTATATTATTTTCCTTGTATATAAAATATATTATTTGATCTCTTATGATGTATCTAATAATGTATAGTGTTAATAATGCATTATCATCTTACTAATTATTATCCCCATTTCATATAAACATAAAAACTACACGAATCTCAATAAAATATACATTGATTCTCTTTACAAATGCAAGCCTCCCTAAATGCTCGTTTACATCTAATTTGTTATATTGTCACAGGAAGATATATAAAGAATTTCTCTGTCATAACTATAACAATCTATAATGCTATTATATATATATATATATATGTATACATCATTGTGTATATTTGATGTACAATCCACGAAACTGTTCTAGAAAGACGAGAGTCAATATCGTGTGAGGACTGAAAAATAATTCAAGTCAGCAAACTAAAAAAAAAAAAAAATATTGATAAAAATACAAATGAAAGTAATAATCACCCAATTCTAAGATAGTGAGCACCGAATCCTTTGTATAACCCTAAAATGCCTTCAATTTTAATCGTTTTTAGAAAGCAATCAAGAGTGTTCTTATACAAACTTGTAAGAGCAAAGTCGATGCGTATTCAATCAATAGACGTCATAGTAAATATAGTCTGAGTTAATCCAAAAATATTGTAACATTGTAACATAAAATATTGAATATTCTTTTTACCTTCCTTCCTTTTGGTTGTACATACGTGTGCTAACGACGTCAAATGGATTCATAGTTATACAGACACAAAGTCCAGATGTCATACTAGCGATACTATGCACTAAAATGTCGCCATCTCCCATCCCGGTATTTTTGATAATCCATCGTTTCACGTAAAAATAGCTTGAAAGTTGTGTCGCTGAACCAACACCAGTCCTTATCATCGCAGCATCAGCACCAGTTAGCAATCCTCTGATACCCCCCGATCTCCATATTTGAGATAGAGCACTGAAAGTATTCTGGTAATTATGTTGATGTCCTATTGCCATACGATTCGAGTAGGATTGCATTCTTGTTTTAACTAAGTATAAAGGAGAACCAAGCGCCGCACCAATAACCCCGGCGAGTCCACCTGAGAGAATGCTGATTGGCATGGATGTGTTAGAGGGTACATTAAAAAATGATTCTAAATAATTTCGTATTGGATCATAAAGTCCAAGACGCGAACCATTCATCACAAGCTGGTATGAATATGCAGGACCTTTTTAAATAAAATTATATATATTAATACTATGATAAAATTACGTATAAAATAAGCGATATCTCACCTATTCCTTTTTGAATTCCATGAACCCCTTCCTTTTTCAAAATTATATAAAAGGCTTGAAAAATATTTTTGTATGGCTTTACGTAAGTTGTATTATTACGAGCCAATTCTCCTTGAAGTTGTAGCCTTGTTTTCACAACCTAAATGTAAAAGTATTAGACATTGAAATATTATATTCACACCTCGATAATACTAACCTCCCAAGGATTTGTGAATGTGACTGCAGCGCATGCTGCTGCCCCGCCGATAAGAAATCCCGGAATAGCACTGATGGTTTCTTTGGCAGTAGCTCGATTAATTTGTTTTGTTGACGTTGCCATAAACCATTTCAACAAGCCAAATCGTCTCACATAAATATTCGCATCTTAGAAAACACAATCAATCGGTTGTGATGATCTTTTCTATTTTTTCCAGAACATGTAACAGATGGGATTTACCTATTTAGTAAAACAAATACAAGTTATTATCTTTTATTAGAATATCTTTTTTTTTTTTTTTTTTTTGAAATAAGTATTAGATGCATGATTTTTATTAAACATTTTGTTTATAATCATTACATCAACAATCTTTATATATGTAAATTAATTGTAACCTATTGCAAATTTAAGGTAATATATACAGACTGAAAATTCTTATGGAAAAAGAAAAAAATAAATAATGGCTAGCTATTAGTTATATTATAAATTAGTATATGTATTCATTAAGAAGTGAGATATAAATAATTTGATATAACTGAAAGGATCAGGTTTTGAGTATACTGAGCCTGGAAACCAGTTTGTTGTTGTAATATAGCTTGTGGATCTTTTCCATATTAGAGGTCTTGTTTTCAATATGGTATGATTATCTTGCATCAATCTTTTAAAGGGATAAGCTAATCATAGGATTCCGAAAAGTATCGAACCAGTATTGAAGTGGTATCGAAATAGTACCAATATATAGTAAATTTAATATATGGATTGTAACCCACTCATATGAATTTATAGTAAATTTAAGTATCGAACTGGTATTGAACAAGTATCGAAGTGGTATCATTAGGAGCCTTAGCTAATCATGATTTTTTGATCTGGATAGGAATTGAGAAAATAAACAAGAAGATCAACTCTATGAAAATTCTTCTTAAATATATGTGGATGATGATAATATCAGATATTCAGGATGGAAACACTTGTCTAGTATATATTTCTAACTAAAGATAGATCCCTAAAATATTTAACATATAAAATTTACATCCCTTATGTCCATATTCTCTAGAGGACATAATTTCTAGCTTTTTATTTCAATAGAGATATAATTTCAAAAATAATTTGTATAAATGCTTAAAACTATAAAGAACCTTTATAGGTGGTTTTTTTTTATTTCTTAATATAGAAATGAAAATTTTTAATAATAAGGGATATTTGAATTATATCTTCACAAATAATTTAGGAATCCATCTTTATTTCTAATCAAATATTTTAGGCAGGACCAAGACTTAGCCATACAAAACCTTATATATATGGCTTGTTGTGTTAAAAAATTTCCATTTTCAACGACCTATTGTATCTCTTCATGTATTTTAGACTTCAGTATAGAGGCCAATGACTATTGAAAGTATTCTTGGTAGCTTTTATATGAGAATCACAACTTTCAGTCAAAGTGATTCCATCATGGTCTTTTTTAAGTTAAACTTTTTTAAGCAAGAGAAATCTTTTATTAGAATATTATTTCTTGTAATTATCAATTATATATATATTGTATTTCAATGAAAATACAGAGAACCTCTTTTAAATACATATATTATATTTTCCTTTTTTAATGAATGATAAAGCTTGCATATTAAAAAAACAAAAAAAAAAAAAAAACACTTTCCCGCAAAACTCAAAAATCCTAAAAAATTCCTTTTTTGATAAAAACACA